AAAAGAAATATAAAAACTCTGGGGTTCCCAATGATGGCAAACTGAATAGATATTTAAACATCCTCTTTTTCATGAAACCTCACCAAAGTGACACTGAAAGTATTTTTTTTTAAATCCACGAGGACAAAAGAGCAACAGAAGAAGAGACAATAGCAATGCAGTTTGAAGCTGGAAAGCAGCTAGACAGGTGACAAGTGACTTAGATGACTGGATTAGCAGCTGAGTGCATTAACCGTTTGTTACAGCCAGGGACTCCAAATGGGCTATTATAATTTGTTATGAACATTTTGGATGACACATATTATGGTTTCATTCTTTAACGTTTCTATATGGAAAAATTCAAACATATGCAAAAGTAGAGTACAAGTATAACAAACCCCCATGTACCTATCACCCAGCTCCTGCAGTTGCCAACTTATAGTCCATCTTCTTCCATCCCTCCTCCCACCCATTCCCAACCCACTCCCGCTGTATTATTTTAAAACGAATTCCAACATCATATCATTTCCTAAAAAAAATTTCAGCACACATCTCCAAAATGAAAGCATTCTTTTAAAAAACAAAAAGGACCACATTATTATCAGACCTAAAAAAATTAACAATTCCTCATTATCCTCAAATATCCAGTTAGTGTTCAAATTTCCTCAATTGTTTCAGATACTGTTTTTACAAGTTTTGCCCCCCACATCAGGATCCGTACATCAGCTGGTACGTTTTTAAATATTTTTGGATCTATAGCCTCTTTCTTCATCTATTTTTTTCTCTTATAATTCATTTGCTGAAGAAACTGAGTCATTTGTCCCCTCTTCATTTGAAAGGAAAGATAATGGAATTCCACATTACTAGGACCACTTTGAAATCATGGCAAGATGATCTAATTTATAAAGTATAGTGTCTAATAGAAACTTATTTCATGTATCTAATTAAAAGTTGGAGCCCTGGTGGCACAGTGGTTAAGAGTTGCAGTTCCTAACCAAAAGGTTGGCAGTTTGAATCCACCAGCCACTCTTTGGAAACCCTGTCCTATAGGGTTGTTATGAGTCGGAATCAACTCGACGGCAATGGGTTTTGTTTTCTTGTTTTTTTTAAATTAAAAGTCACCTTCTCAGTGAGGCCCTCCCTGGCTACCCTATGTACAATTTCTTTATCCCCCAAACGCTTGATGCTCAGTTTCTTCTTCTCCTGTGGTTCCCCCCCACCCCCCCCACTTAACAGACTATATGGTTTGTTTATTGGCTACTTCCCCAAGGGTGGATTAGCCAGTAAGCAGGGTATGCATGAATTTCCAGTAAGCAAGTTATGCACTTACTAATCTGTACTGCACAAATACTGAAATTGCGCACTACAGATTAGTAAATAAGCACAAACATAATTTGCTTATTGGGTAATCTGTTCCTTTAAAGAGGTATCCTCCCCTTTAAAACTTGAGCTTCATGAAGATGAGGGTTTTGTGGGTTTTGGTCTCTACGTATCCCCAGTATCTGGAACAGGCACCAGTAAATACTTGAATGAATAAATGAATGAAAGTGAATTAAGGCAGGACAGAAACGTGAGGATGGCTGTGTAGGGTGACACAGAGGAAATGAGGAAAGTATCTGTACTTGTTTGATTTGTGGTATCCACTAGGACCAGAGACTCCTATAAAGACTTGCTAAAAGCTCAGATGATGAATATGGTCTGAAAGTCACTCATTGAGGGAGGGGCCTCTCAGTAGACACTGGCTTGGTCAAAGGGTCTGTTGACCCTTTCGTCCTGTTAGAGGCTCGATCCAACCTAACAGTCATGTGCTGGTCTGACCATTTCTATCAGCAGAGCCTGTGGTGTTTGGGTGGGAGACCAGTCCTTTCAGACTGTCTCCAAGAATGTACTGAGGTGCTCGCAACAAGAATGATAGTCTTAAAACAGTTTAACTTGATGTAAGACAAGTTTCCCAACCTTTAGAGCAGTTGGATTGCAGCCCGACTGTGAAACCACAGCTGCCCTAGAATGCAGAGCCTGAGTGAGTCACTGCCGTGCTGTAGCCTGTGGTATGGCCTCAAACAGGTCCCGCCACTGTCTTCTTGTCTCTAAAATAGGGATAATACCCCTTCACCTCTGCAGGGTTGTTGTGAGCCTTTTGTGCTGTCCAGTGATGCAGGGATGTTATCACAAACCCCTAGTCAGCCTGGGTGAGAAGATGGAGTGCTGGCTGCTCTGGGTGAGGTTGGGGGTAACAAGTAGCGAGGCCAGGCCAACTAGGAGTCGTCTCTCACCTGCTCTGGGGGTGGGGAGAGGGTGATACCTTTGGGCTGTTTAGCTGTGTGGAGCTGTTAGATCTTCTCTTCCCATCCCTCCCCTAGGGGCTTTGGCTACATCAGCTGAGTGACCAGGAAGCCTGTGCTGTGCTGACTATATGCCAAAGCATTGTTTTAAGATCCTTTCTAGCTTTGGTCATAAGATTCTTGCCACAGTGACAGTGTGTCAGTGTCTCTAGAATAACGCATCCTCATTCCTAGAAATGCTGGTCTGGACTTGCATGCTTTTTCCAGCAAGACGTGCCCAGGACGAGACTCCACTTCACTTGGCCCATCTCCCAGCTGTCCCATTGCTCTTTGAGGAATCACGTTTGCGTCCCCGTGGGTTGCACTATGTGTTTATTTCTTGTGGGTAGAGATCATGGTTTTACCCCTGCTAGTACCAGGCCAGTAGATTTACATTGTTTTCCGGGGTCTTATGAAATCCAGCAAGGACCCCTGATTTTTTTTTTTTTCCACTTTATAGACCACTGTTCAACGAAGTAGCCACTAGCCATATGTGGCAAGTTAAGATTAAATTTAAACGAATTAAAATTAAATAAAAATTTAAATCTAGTTCCTTAGACACACTAGCTGCATTTCTAGTGTCTAATTTGCACCTAGAGCTAACAGCTACCATATTAGTGCAGATTATAGAACGTTTCCATCATAACAGAAAGTTCTGTTGAATAGTACTGTAAATATTCCTACTCAAAGATTCATGAATGTGGAGAGGGAGCTTGAGAGCACTTAGGAGAAAGGTGAGCGACAAATGATGGAAAATAAGCTATCGCACGATTTACCTCATGCTGTTATTTTTTAATGTGTTGTGATAAAATATACATACATAAAATGCACCCTTTTAACCATTTCAAAAAATGGCATTAATGACTATATTCAATGTGTTGTGCAACCATTATCACTACTTCCAAAACATTTTCATTACCCCAGACAGAAATTCTGTATATTCATTGAGCAATAATTCCCCATTTCCTCCTCCTCCTAGCCCCTGGTAACTTCTGATCTACTTTCTGTTTCTATGCATTTCCCTATTCTAGATATTTCATATAAGTGGGATCGTATAATATTTATCTTTCTGTGTCTGGCTTATTCCACTTAGCATGTCTTCAGGGTTCATCTATGTCATGCGTGTGTCAGAACTTTCATTTCTCTTTATAACTGAATAATATTCCATCATACGTAAGTGTCACATTTTGTTCATCCATTCATCTGTTGGTGGACATTTGGGTTGCTTCCACCTTTTGGCTGTTGTGAATAATGTTGCAAAGTTTACCTCATGCTGTTTTCATGGTAAAACAGTTCTCAAAATAAATTCTTGCTTCAGGGGAAGACTTGAGGTTCCCAATGTTAACACATCCCATTAGGAAGTTGTCCCCAGAGCTCTCTCGGTTATTCAGTTGCTTGTCACCTTTGTGGAGCTCTGGTGGCACAGTGGTTAAGATTCAGGCTGTTAACCAAAAGGTCAGCAGTTCAAATCCACGAGCTACTCCTTGGAAACTGTATAGGGCATGTTATACTCTGTCCTGTAGGGTCACTATGAGTCGAAATTGACTCAACAGCAACGGGTTTTTTTTTTTTTTGTCAACTTTTAGCACATTGTCAGAACATGGCTGCCCACCACTTAGCCAAGGAATGGCTCCTTCCTGCCGTGACTCCACGCTCTGCTGGAAGGCTCCCTGCTAGAAACTGTCAGAGGACTTTGGGCTTTCTGAGTTAATGGGAAAGAAAGTTCTTATCACTCTTGGTTTGCCATTTGTGTTTCTACTAAAAGAAGGAAAAAAGTGATGAAATAGAAGCTTGTCTAGAATGTCTGCTGCCATCTTTTCTGTCCAGCTGGCAGAGTCTTAGCAGCAGGACCAGGACTAGGTGAGGCAAGCCAGATGCCCAGGGTGCAAATTTAAGGTACTTATCTTGTATTTGCACAAGCCTGAGAGCAAGTGTGTCCTTAAAGTTTGTGCCCTGGGTGCCTCAGTTGCCTCACCCTAGTCCAGGGCTGGTTCTCTTCAGTCCCATTCACCACTTGCTGGCAGACTCACTGCATGGTTCTAGGAATTTTGGGCTTGTACATAATTCTTTTAGCACATACAGCATCATACCATGTCAGCACCTCTCCCAGACCGAGCCCCTCAGGTAGGGACTGTATCTCTTGGCTCTTTGGACACCTGGCCCATCGTCGACAACAAATAAGTGGCTGATGGATTAAATCAGTCAACCAGGTATCAACTCAATTAATGCAGGAGTCAAGAACTCTCTTGACTTAGCCTTTTCCATTGAGAGTTCAGAGAGTGTCCTTCATTGTAACCTGCTGAGTTCTACAGTTTGGCACAGCTGAGTTCTTTGCACACAGTGAAGCCGAGAGTGTTCCCATTAGTATGGCTATGGATGGGCACTGTTTCCCCCATGGCCCTTCCCCAGGATCCTTTATCCTTTAGCAGCAGGCTGTTACCTCACTAGAAATCTCTTGTGTCCAGGTATGGTTCTCCTCTCTTCCCTCCTTTACGCCTTTACCTCTGAACTTTACCTCAGAGTTCATGTCATGTGTCATGCTGCAGCTTCTGTGACAAGGCCGGACTGCCCTGGGAGCACATAGCTGGGCCTGGGTGTGCCATGGTTAATTTGGGGAGGAGTGGAGAAAAGAAGCAATTGCCTGATGTTGGAGGCCCCTCTGTGAACTCTGTGTTACATGCTTCTTTCTGCCTTCCACAGAGTGTATTGAAGAAGAGAGATCAAGTGCAAGCAGAATACGAAACCAAACTGGAAGCTGTGGCTCTGAGGAAGGAAGACCGACCCAAGGTGAGGGAAGACATGTGGGAGGGATGGCCTGGTCTGGGCTAATAGCTGTAATCCACTGGTGCTAAGAAAATTCTTGTCCTAGGTAAGCACTTGGCTGCTAACTGAAAGGTTGGCAGTTTGAACCCACCCAGTAGTTCCACAAGAGAAAGACATGGAGATCTGCTTCCGTAAAGATGACAGCCAAGAAAACCTTGTGGGGCAGTTGTACTCTGTCACATGGGGTAGCTATGAGTTGAAATTGACTTGATGGCATATAACAACAGATAAATACAACTAGGGGAATCAGTGTAGATGGGCTATGTTGATGCTATCGTTTTCTTGTTTTTGCTTCATTTAATGTCTCACTTCTGAGAGCTCCAAATGTGCTCTTGGGGTTGAGTTTTCTGCTCGTATATGAGATTTTTGTTTACAAGACTTCCAACTCCGCCATTCACTGGCACTTCTCTCTGTAAAATGCCATTGTGGGGAGAGAGGAAGAATAGTCCAGATCAGTGCTCCCTAAGTGTGGTTCACGAACTGCTACACAAATGGTTACCAATCCATGACGACAAGCACAGAAACTGAGAGTAAGTGCTTGGGAACGTGTATAGCAATTTGGCATTGCTACAGGATCAGTGGACTCATAATACTCGATGTGAGTGTTGACAAACTGGCTTAGTGAGTTGCAATGAGAGCAAGCTGCATAATAGTTATACACAGTAGGACTACGATTTGATTGGATTAGAGGGGAAAAAGCCAACACAAACTAGTCCTTCAGCACAGAGTTTGAGGAGTGCTGGTCTAGCTTGTCTGTGATGCCTTCCAGCTCCAGTGCTGTGGGTCCAGATAGAGGATCACAGTTGTAAAAATGCATCTGTTGTATCAGTCACTCCGCTTGTTGTCTTTCCCTTCCCCCACTAGGATTAAAGACAGTAAGAGTAATAAAGGCCAAGATGCAAGTGCTTATAATGTGTTAGGCACTTTATATTATCTCATTCATCCCACACAACAGTCATGTGGGTTAGGTACCATTGTTATTCCCACTTGAGAGATGAGCAAACCGAGGCCAAAGATCACACCAATAGCAAGTGGTTGAGCCAGGATTACAACCTGCAGTCTGACTTTAGAACCATTATGTTACTCTACTCCTTCTACAGTTTGTAATTGGAAGGGAGAGGGGATGTTATTAAAAAGATAAATAGCAGGAGCTCAAGTTTCAGGGAAATAGTTTGACATCAGAACTGGTATTTTTTTCCCCACTGCCTTGGCTCTTGCTGCTGCCGCGATGCTGAGGCATACCTGGAAAGGAACCGGCTTCGGGAATTTGAAACCTGGATCTTTGAAATGGCACACCTTCGCTTTATATGGTGCTTTTTTGTATTCATTGCTTCGCGTGATGACTGCAGTAGTCATCTGAGGCACAGAGGGAAGGCATCGTTCTTTCCACCTTTCATGGATGAGGAAATAAGGCACAAAGCAGCTCAATAAATGGCCTAGCTTTATTGATGCCAAATGTCTGCATCCAGTGTTCTGTATCCAGCAGACATACAATACATGTTTGTTGCATTGATTCGTGTGTCACCGATAGAGATCTACACAGAGAATGAAGGCTGCATACATTTTATAGAAAGTCAGATGATAAGGATTAGGAGCCTTGTCATTGGCCCAGTATATGTAACTGGGACTTGGCCAAAGAGCTAGGCACCCTCCCTTTCTTGCCTCACCCTTCTTCCATCTTCTGTGTCACGAGGGAGGCCGCAATGGAAAAGCAGCAGTGTACACAGCTGCCTGGTGTCTTCCAGCTGCCTGTCCTGTTCACGAATCCCTAGCTATCCTGGGATATTCTGGAGGGTGGTGTTGTCTGCTATGTCCATGTCTCAGTCTCATTTAAAGAAGTGGCATGGAGTACTGTGTTTATATATTTAAAATTTTTCCTCCTAACAATTTAGCCCTCAAATATAAATATAGAAGCCACTTTTCCTGGCTAAGGAGGGAAGGAGAGCCAGCAAATTTTGCCACTGGCCTAGTTTGGAAGCTAAAGAGCCTATATTTTAAAGATATCACTTAAATAGTTCTGTCACATTCGTATATGCTTAGCACTGAATACAGGCTGGTTTTGTCATTTAATGTTATGTTTAGCCCTATATGGAACAATTCCTTTCCAAAGGTAGGAGATGTGAATAATAAGGCTGAATTAAATCTTGACCATGCCCTGGCTGGCTGGCTTCCTAAAGTCAGAGGGAGCAGCTATCTTTGGCTCCCATGTACAACCCAGTTAAACTGCTGGGCTTCCCGGCCTTGTGTCCTACCCTTGTTACTGGTCTGGGTGACTCCTCTTCTCCTCCCATGGTAGTTGAGATCTTCCCGCTGCTGTGCCTCCCTGGAGCACCACTTACCCACACAACTCAGTCTCTTGACCACAAGAGTTCTTATAAGAGAGGAAGGGTTTCTTTGTATCTAATAAGAATAACTAAAACCTCCTAAAATCTACACCTGTTTCCATCTAGTCGATTCTGACTCATAGCGACCCTGTAGGACAGAGTGGAACTGCCCAATAGGGTTTCCAAGGCTGTAATCTTTATGGAAGCAGCCTACCACATCTTTCTCCTGTGGAGTGGCTGGTGGTTTCAAACTGCTGACCTTTCGGTTAGCAGCCAAGCATTTTAACCACTGTGCCCGCAAGGCTCCTGTTATGAGAATAACTAGTAGCTCATAAATACATCTACATTTTCTTAGCACACTGTGGGTAAGCAGTCTTCATCCTCCCTCTTTTTGGCCATGCCAGAGTTAATTTTGCTACATGTTTAGTAATTCTGCTATTTAAAAATAAAACAAACCTGGGACCATCATGATGGTGGTGAGCCACTGTGTGTAATCCAGCAATGGGGTCAGCAGAATTTGTGTACCAGTTTTGAGTCAAGGGCAGCAGCTTCCTTGATGGGCAGAGAAGAGCTCAGTTGATAACCTGTCCAAGTCTACCGTGGTTTGGTAGAAAGAACACAGGATTTACAGTCAAGATAATCCTGGGTTCAAATCCCAGCTCTGCCCTCTGTGGGCCTCAGCTGCCACGTACACGTTATTGTTGTGAAGACGGAAAGTGCTCAGATGGTGTCTGACGTCACAGCTGCCCATTGGTGGGACGCTGCTTCCTGTACAAGCTCTGTTAGGAGTGCTCACTGCCAGCTTTGTTTCTGGGTTTGTTGCCATTTAATCTTGTTAAAAATCTTTAGTTTTTTTTTGGACCACAGTATTTTAGACAGTATTTCCTGGAGTCCCTCAGTGTCCCCTGCTCTTCCACCCTACCCTACGACTATCCCCCACAACACCCTATCAGCAGGTAGATAGACATCTAGGAAATTAGTAACTTAAGGTGTTGATGTGCTTTGTTTTATGTGGTTTTGGGCTCTACATTCCAGAGCTGCTATTGAGATACAAGCCAGAGTATCAGGAAGTGGGTCAGGGCAGATTTCACCCCTAATGACTTCTTAAGTAACTTAGGGACTGTAAGCATTCAGCCAGTTGTACTATTTATAACTCAGAGTAGGAGCAAGAGTGTTCACAGGTCTGATGCGGAGAAGGAGAGGATTCCTACTAAAAGATAGGGAGTTTTTACAGGGGCAGGCACTGGGTCTGGGTTTGTAAGCTAGTGAGTGTTAACAGATCAGCTGAGTGAGTCTGGGGGCTTACTTTGCTTTGAGGTGAAATCTTGAAGGTTGCTCTGAAGAGTGAGGGAAAGTTGATTTGTGTGAAGCTGTGGAGTGATGTCAAAATCTGATCACTTCTCCATAACCCAGAAGAAGCAAATAGCCTCACAAGTGTAATCCTCACTGAGGATTTCAAAATGGGTGGTTGTCATCGGCCGCTGGAGGAGTGAGTCCCTTAGTTCTAACTTGTTAACCTTTGTGGGTCTTTATGGCTGTGGCTTCTCAATGTGTGTTGAGATCATGGGGGTGGTGAGGCCTTTAGAGCTAGGGGAAAGGTTAGTATCATAGAATTTAAGGTTTTGCTTTGCTTTTAGTATTGGAAAAGACTCAGCAGACCCTGAAGTAGTTTATTCTCAGGCAAATGATAAAGACTTGGCTTTCCTGATTTTAATTTTGAGGTTAGAGAAATTGCAGGCACTTAATAGGAGCTGGCTGCCTACTGTGGTATTGTCAGGACCACAGACTTTTGTTAGTTAACCCACTTTAGAACATACAGAGGATATAAACACAATTACTGGAAACAATGAGGGGCCAAGGAACTGTATTTAAAAATGGATTGGAAGGATACCTACCCTAGCGTGGGCAATAATGGTAAACTGGGAGGGAACTCTGACTTTTTTTTTCCCACCAATTTTTTTATTGTTGTTGAGAATATACACAGCAAAACATAACACCAGTTCAACTTTCTACATGTACAATTCAGTGACATTGATTACATTCCTTGAGTTGTACACTCATTCTCACCCTCCTTTTCTGAGTTGTTCCTCCCCTGTTAACATAAATTTATTACCCTCTAAGGTTCTTACCTAATCTTTCAAGTTACTATTATCAATTTGATTTATATAGATAGTTCTTAAAAGAGCATAATGCTCAAGGCAGACCTTTTTTTTTAACTAGTTAAGCTAAACTATTGTTTGGTTTTAAGAAGACTTTAGGGAATATTTTTGGTTCAAGGTTCAAAGATTATCTAAGAACAATAGTTTCAAGAGTTCATCCACCCTCCATGGCTCAGGAAAATCTAGAATCCATGAGAATTTTAAATTCTGCATTTTCCCCCTTTTGATCAGGATTCTTCCATGGACTTTTTGATCAAAATGTTCAGTAATGGTAGCCGGGCACCATCCAGTTCTTCTGGTCCCATGAAAAAAGGGGTAGTTGGAACTCTCACATTTTATTCTCTTCCATACTGGACTTTTTTCAATGTTAATAGGGCCATGTCTTACTAGGTCAAAGAAGAACATAGAAGGGATAGTGAGAGAGAATGCTTTACAAAAATCTTGTAGTTATCTTCATGAGGTGCTAATTCAGGGCCTGACT